GAGTGCCGATATCCGAATGGATTATAAAGATTAATTCCCCAGGAAAGGCAAAGTGTAAATTGTGTACTAAAATTCTATCATATGGTTCGAAGGGAAAGAGTGCATTACTTGAACATTGTAACTCTGAAAGTCACATGAAATGTGCGAGGAGTGTTATAACAAACTTCAGACGGCATGTCCAGCGGATCCATCTTCCACCGTTTTGGAGTGGTGTCAGGCAGATTATCTGCACCTTTCTGCAAAAGTTTTCCCCAGGGAAACACCACACATTTCGAAATTTGAGACAGTCGTGTGACTTGAGTTCTTATTCGAACACAGACAATCTCATTGTTGACTCTCATTTCCATCTGGATCAGCTGTTTTAAAGGGACATAATCTCTGATTGCAGTGATATGTTTTTTCTTTTCAAGATAGTCTCCGTCATTTCCGCCTGCTATATAACGTGGTTAAATTATTATTTTTTTCCAAAGCACTGGCCTCTGTGGAGAAGCCAGACCAGTAACCACCAACAGATACGACTGTCATTTGAAATCAATCCCAACCTTGCTGGCCAAATTACCTCAGATATCATATCTGAGCTTGGGAGGCTTGTGTCGTTGCCATAGTTCCTGGCCATTGGAGAAATAGGAATCGACTTGACCACCACTTGCAGATTAAATGAAAATATCCTTTTATTGTTGATTTGAAAATAATACAAATCATGAGCTTTTCTTCCAAAATTTTGGAACCATGACAACCCTAGCGATGAGCTTCTCTCTAACCTTTTGCGAAGATGTGTTGTAAACAATTCTGTCACGTATTAATTCTCCTTCCTGTTACCATTTTCTGCGAGTATTCTTAAACATGTCACAAACTGTTCTATCGAGGAGGCTCCCTGGTTTTTAGACGGAGGCTCTAGCAGCCTCCGGGTATAGGGATTGTCTTGCCCATGGAATGTAAACAGGAAAGATTTCCCAAGCACCATCTATCGGTGGAATTGTTTTCATTACCTTGAGAATTCTATTTTTAGAGCGACTATTGAGTAACACCGACCGAAAGGATAGACATAGTCTAAAACAAAGATTGCGTCACATACAAGTACAAGAAACATATTGACGCAAGCGTCAAAATTCGGCCGCAAACCAATTTATGTAACTGTTGAAGTTCCTTTCAGAAACTTAAATTTGCTGTTGTTTTTTTTTTTTAATTCTTCAGAAACTGAAATTTACTGTTTAAAAAAAATCTCATATTTATCTGTTAAAATATCCTCGTGCCATGAAAAAAATGCATGCGACAATGCCGATTGCATAATGCATGTACAGTATTATATATTAGGCAATACAAACTATGCAATAGTCCTCTGCGTCTCTGCACTCAGTTTGGTACAACTTGCTCTTTAAGTAGTTTTCACATTAAAAGTACAAAATAAAGTTTAAACTTAGCTATAGATTGACCTTAATAAAAACGCAACAAATATTTAACATGTGGGCTGATCGCTTTCTCTTATAGGATGTAAACCCCCCCCCCCCAACTCCTTCAAGATCCACCACTACACTTCTTCTCTTTCAATCTCTGTTTTGGTGTTGAGATATGGCGGGAAAACGTTTGGCACATTGTAAAACGCGCTTTATCCTAGTCTCCTGGACCAACATGTCGTAATATTCTTTGCTTTTAATAAATCAATATTTCATAATATTTTTGAAAAATATCCATAGGAAATGTTTAGATATACATTTCATTTCAAATTAATACAGCAGATCCTGTTTTAAAAAGAGAAAGTAAAACTGTTGATTTACAACGTGGTCTTTGTCTTAGACTATGCCTAACACTCCTACTAATTTTCTCCGCACTTCAGTTATATCAGAGTTTGTCAATCAGGATTGGATGAAATATTTACCCCATTATTTATATATTGAATTTTGCGATTGTTGTGCTTTTTCCTAAACATATAGAAATCTTTGTTTAATATTAAAACGCCGGCGATATGATGTTGAATATTTTTATTTAAATGTTTACTGTTTAGCTCCGCAGAAACGCACAGGGACTTAAAACTTTCATATCATATAACCGACCGCCTCCTGGCGGCCGGTAATAAACAAACAGTTATACTTTTTCTAAATAAACAGGATTTGTCTAATATTTTTTTAAAATGACGTGTATATAAAACATTTCGTACAGAATATGTTAAAAAGAATGTGATTTACTGTTAATTTTATTATCAAACAGAATATTAGGAGATTTTCCAACAGACGATGATTAAGGAAGGATATGGAAATAACGAACAGTATTCAATCTCAACGTCCATTAAACAAATATACAAAATAAGAGCAGAGCAAACAAGGACCTCAGAAACATCAGAGGTGGGATCAGGTGCCATGGAGGAGTGAGCATCCACTGCCGACCGGTCACACCCGCCGTGTGCTCGTTGTCATAATCAGGAAATAACGGAAAAAATCCGTGGTCAATCCAGTGTATATATAATGGACTAACAATTTGTATGATAAACGTCAGTCAGTATTTCATTCAATGATAAATTGTATTTGCTGACAAGGTCATTGTATCGACCATAGAATTTACGAAATGATGACTTTAAATGAGCCTCCTTGATTCTTGTAGAATCACTTAACTCAGACGGTAAGTATATTTATTTTGTTTATTGTATGTGCTATTTTGTAAGCTTATTAGGTATTACTCAGCATTTAGAGCAATGATTAAATATTTGTTTTAATATTAATAGACCAAAGAAAAAGAGACATGGCACTACAAATCATACGAGCAACTTGTAATATGGGTAAGCAGTTATATATCCATAAGCATTTCTTTCTGTGTGTCACTGTTTGGTATTGGTGATGCACTTCAAATGTATTTTCCAGGAACACCTATTACATTATGTATAAGTATTTAAAATATCTTTGATTAAACAATTAAAATATGCTGTATAGTGAGAAAGCCTTTTTCCATTACTTTTAATTTCTAAAATGGTTAGGCAGAAAATCTACGAAACAGGTCATAATTTTCAATCCAGCATTGTTTTACATTTTATATATTAAAAGTCAGAAAACTGTAAAATTGCAGATTATGCTCCAATGATATAAAATTAATATTTGAAACCGTTATTTAATCATAAATATATAAACACCTGCATATACATACTTCAACCGCATATCAAATACTCTCAAGTTTAATGTACTTGCTTATTTTTCAGATGACTGCGTAGAATCCTCTGATGCAAAATCATGCAATGCAGTGCCGTGCAGTGCAGATGTAGAATCTGAGTCACTGGACCGAAAAATGTGGAATAAACAAGACACTAAAACATTATTCGATATAAAAAGTAGAATGGAGAAAGACTTTAACAGCAACAAAATGCACAAGAGTCTTTAGGAAACCATTGCCAAGGTATTATCAACTGTTGGTGTTACAGCATCAGCAACACAGTGCATGAATAAGTGGAAGGCGCTTAAAAGGGAATACAAGAAAACGGTGGACAATAATGAACAGACAGGATCAGAGAAAAAAACATGCAATTTTTTTAAAACAATTTTCTGAACTCTATTGAAACAAAAGTGGTACGAGACCAGCATTTACACTGTCTTCAAGAGTGCGACAAAACAACAAAACAGAAAATAACAAAGATAATGATGAAGATGTTGAAGCAGAGGACTCCAGAGATTCTAATTCGTCAGATAGCAGCACTCCACAACCGAAGAAATCCCTCAAACGTAGGAATACGAATCAGTCTGCATTACTTGCTTTGGAAGAGTACACAAAAAGACAAATGGAATACAGGGAAGAAAGGTTAGAGGTTTCAAAAAAAAACAACACGAGGAAAAAATGAATCTTATGGGAAAGTTAATCGATTGTCTGCAACCAAAAATTCCTAAAAATGATCAGTAAAATTAATAGTGAAGAAGTTGTAAACAATAACTATCTTTGTGTCTTTGTAGATTATTTGAAAGATTTGGATACAACTTAGTTGAATTTTATGAGTTTACCAAGAACATTGAGGATTGCTACAAGGACTTACATATGTTTATTTTTCAATCACCAAAAGCAACAGAGTGCTTTGATTCACCTTTTTCATATTGTTCATATTGCTCTGCTTCGCCTGAATCTCAGTTCTCTTGTGAAATGTCTACAAAGTGTTTTACGCCAGACACTTTGTTTAAAGAGACATGTTTCAATGTAGAATCAGACTCTAGCAAAATACAAATAGGGAACAATGTATTTGTCCCCGCATTAGAATTCAATCACATGGTTAACTCTTCATTAGAGAAATGGATTGACAATATTTAATGCTTTAATTTTTTCCTTATTTTAAGATTAATTTACATTTGTGATATGCCAAATAGGCCCTGTCAATTTTTTTTTAAAGTTGTTTATTGAAAACAATACATGGTTATAAAGTTTAACTTCTAATTTTATTAAACTTTTAAGATTAATTTACATTTGTGATATGCCAAATAGGCCCTGTCAATTTTTTTAAAAAGTTTTTTATTGTAAACAATACATGGTTATAAAGTTTAACTTCTAATTTTATTAAGCTTTCATTTTCAAGTACAATCTTGTCTATAATCTTTAACTTCTAATTTTATTAAACTTTCATTTTCAAATACAATCTTGTCTCTAATCATTGTCTTTTCTCTTATGCACAATATTTAGATTTTACAATGTTTTTAGATACTGAACTATCTGATTGCGAAAGTTTATACCAAGAGGTGCATTTTCATATAATGGTCCATAGTTGTTGACATTATTGCTTGGAAGGATATGGAAATAACGAACAGTATTCAATCTCAACGTCCATTAAACAAATATACAAAATAAGAGCAGAGCAAACACGGACCTCCGAAAGATCAGAGGTGGGATCAGGTGCCATGGAGGGAGGTCATCCAGCATGTCATTAACAGAGTCATTTGATAGAATGCAAATGTTGTGAAGAACACAGCATGCAGTTATTACTTTGCAAGCACGTTCTATATCCAAGCAGGGTAGGCTTGTGAGCCTTCTGAATCTACACTTTAGTAGGCCAATGGCTCTTTCAACATTATGACGTGATGTTGATAACTTTCTATTATAATGTCTCTGGGGGCAGTTAACCTTCCATTATCACGGAAAGGGGTCATCAGGTAAGGCTTCAGTGGGTAGGCAGAACCTCCTGTAATGTTTTGAAAAATAAACTAGGTTTCTTGTAAATGTATACATTTAAATTTTTATAAAATAGGAAAACCATGCATATTAACCTACTTATACAGTTACTGTTTTCTTTGTTAACCCCAATAAGTTTGACAAAAAGAACAAAGATCTAGATGTATCCTTGTTGAAATCTTAATTAATGTGGTTTAATTTTGAAACATTTTACTCAGTTAAAATTTTCTTACCAATTATGAAAAAGTGTGGATTTAAAATTCCATTTTCCAACTCATTAAAGATATCAGAGTTTCTGAAAACTCGGGCATCGTGGGTACACTCTGGCCATCCAACAAAGCTATCTGTAATAAGTAACATATGGTATTGCAACTGGAGTGAGGGATAACCTTTCCTGTTGATGTAGTCTTGATCTCCATTGGGAATGTTTGTAAGAGTAATGTGACTGCCATCAATTATCCCTATGATTCCTGGTATTTTACATTCGGCCTCAAAGTGATCAAAAATTTCTTGCTGATGCCGGGGACCTGGCCAAGATATAACTCGATCCCGAACTGAGCAAAAAAAGTCATGAACACAGTCACAAACAGTGGACTGTGAAATTCCAAAACAGTAAAGAAATTTCTCTCATGGAAGTTGTATAACATAAATACCACAGGCCTACCATGGCACGTTTCTCCGTCAATATCGGCTGTTTGCTCTGTGTCCGAATATCCTTGGCTGGATTTGGTTCTATCTCTTGGAATAAGCGTGTGAACGTTTGCTTGTTAGTCTAAAATGTTTCTTAAAGTCAAGAGAAGAGAAATCTGGCAACACTTCTTCGTAAAATATTCTTATAGATGGGACACGCTCTCTTCTGATAAAGTTAACAAAAAATATGGGACAATATCATCGTCTATGTCTTCTTCTTCAAGAAAGTAATCAACCGCAAACACTTATCCGACGTTATCAGCCATATTTGTTTACATTGGAGCTCGACTCGAGGCATTCGATTACATACTCTATTGCGCATGCTCAACGATGACACTAGTGTCTGAAGAGTTCTTATAATTGAATGCACCCCAGGAGGAGTAGAATTTTGAAAAAAAACAGACAGGCAGACGGACGACGGACGCATTACCATCGCATAAGCTCTTCTGGTCTCTGACCAGTAGAGCTAAAAACCATAATATAAAAAATTTATTACGAGTTTTGATAATATAGCTGATACACCATCTTGTTCGAGAGAGTTTGATTGGCTTTACATGAAGAAAGGCGTGGGGCATTTTGAAATGAATGCAGTCAAGGCATTTTTTTAACTAAACTGGGTTCCATTTTTAGAAAAGATGTGTGAGTTGATGGGGTTTGTGTCCAAAAATGCAAAGCAATTTGCAAACTCCTTCAAAGACCATCATTTTGCCTGGCAACTTCTGCTGACATTTCATACAACAGCGTTACAAGAAATGGTCGTCCTGTATGTTAGAGACGCAAAAAGCAACAGCCAGCCAATATCTGTAGAATCATTTATTTAATTCTACAAACAAAATGGCAGAAAACCCAAATTGCGCATATCTTAACATGCAAGTATTTAGATTCTCCCAAGCAATCATAAACTTCAAAATGGGGATCAGAAGAAACAATGCCGAACTTGTACGAAGCGCCAAATTCACACCAAAGAATTGTTTTATGGCCGTTTC